TTTTTTTAATATTTATTTATTTTAGACAGAGAGACAGAGCATGAGCAGGGGAGGGGCAGAGAGAGAGGAAGACACAGAATCAGAAGCAGGCTCCAGGCTCTGAGCTGTCAGCACAGAGCCTGATGCGGGGCTCGAACTCACAGTCCATGAGATCATGACCTGAGCCGAAGTCGGACGCTCAACCGACTGAGCCACCCAGGTGCCCCGAAAAGTGAGTATTTTGATATAATATTTTTTTTAAGTAGAGTAAAAGAGGAACAATAAGAATCTACTAAGAAATGATCAACATCAAAAATGTTGATATCGTTTACATTCTGATTCACAGTCCCTAAGGTTAGGTAGAGATTAAAGTGCTGAAGGAAAATAAACCCATTCCCCAAATCTCCTACCTGTAGTCTGCCCGTCACCACCTATCTCCACTTTTAGAATATGCAAAGAGGCACCGAAGTTTGGCTGGGGAAAGAAGGAGGAGTGTTAACATTGTGATTCAACCGCATGAAGGGCAAAACATGACAGTGACTAATTACTGCCTTTGGTTTGACAGATGAGAAGACCAACTTCAAATCAACAGCCACTTAATCCAAAAGTAATTTTCCATTTTTTTTAAAAGCTAGAAATGTGAAGGTGACCAATTCTACCGCTGAAATTCACCATAGCTTCAAACATATCACAGGTGCCATTAAATAATTATTTTTTCATTACCTTAAAGAGATAATCCAATATTTGAGAACGATAGGGCTCCGGGTAATTTACTAGAAGTCGGGAGGTTGCCTAAAAAAAAAAAAAAAAAAAAAAAAAAAAAAAAAAAATTCAAAAGTGTGAATAAAACAAATCCAATCATGAACAGGTTTTCATAGTGCCAACTTGCACCACCTGGCATGCCCGTATTTAGCCAGCTCGTGGGCAAAGTTGAGCTGAGGAAAGCCATTTCCCAGGTTACTTGTTTACCTGCCTTTATTTTGCCCATCGCTAGGCGAATAAGGCTGTTGTTTGTCCAACAGCTAAAACACAGGTTCGAAGCCACAGCATGTTTCTCTTCTGTTGAGATGCAGGTTTGCCGGAAGGTAAGTTAATTCTATGAGGAACCTCGTGATTACAAATTTGTCGCGAGGAACTTAACTCAGAGAGTGATTATTAGAAGAAATGAAACTTAGAAACTTAGGTTCTCTATCATTTATTTATTTGTTTGTTTGTTTGTTTATTTGCTTGAGAGAGAGAAAGAGAATGAGACAGTACATGCAAGCAGGACAGAGGGGCAGAGTCGGGGGGTGGGGAGGGAGAATCTTAAGCAGGCTGCAGCCCCAGCATGGAGTCCAGTGCAGGTCTTGATCCCACAACCCTGGGATCATGGAAAGGATGAATAACAAGTAATCCTTTCCCTTCAACATCTTGCAGGAAATTAAGCAGCAATGCTGAAAGGAACCAATACTCTCCCATCTTTACCGGAGATTTATAAGTGGCGTGCCTATTAAGAATGATCACACACACACACAAAAAAGAATGATCACACAATGATCCCCAGGCCAAGGTATACTAAGGAAACCTCACACATGACTGGTATCAGAATGTATGGAAAGATAGAGGTGGAGGATGCGGGGATGAACACGATCACATCTAACCCATGCGCAATGACTGCTTCAACAAAGAACTCACAAAACCAGTAGTGGACCAATAATGTATCTTTTGGGGAGCAATATACATAAGGGGAATAAAAGAAATAAGTTTTAACATGAAATAGTGGCACGTCCCTAGGCTTAGAAGCCAGACAGGCTCTAGGTTCAAACCACTGACACCAAGGGCAAGATACTTTTATACTCAATGTTCTGTTTTCCTACTCTCATGTGTGTTACCACTGACATTCTAGTGGCTCTTTTAATCTATCTCCCTCACACCCACAATCTCCCCAGCCCCTGCCACTGAGACGCAGACCCATGGAGCTACCCTCTATTCACTTCAAGTTCAACACATCCCCAACCAAACATAGCACTTTTTCCTTAGTCTGTTCCTTCTCCTGAATTTGTTATCTTAGTAAAGAACCATAAACTCAGGGCTACCTTTCACCAACTTCCCATCCATCTTCAGTCACCAAGACCTCCTTAATACTCTCCAATCCAACCCCTGACTTCAACCCTATTTCCTTCATCCAGGCTGTCCTCAATCATTACAACAGCCTAAAGGTTCTCCGGGCCTCCTGTCTGCCTCCCTGTATTCTAGCTTCCACACTACTTGCCAGAATAATCTTCCCAAAATGCAAATCTAACCACGAAAGTACACTGTTTAAACCTGCCAAGACCTCCCCTCCACCAAGAGCTTTCAGGATCAAGTTCAAATTCTCAGTTTTATACCCAGATCCTTTAATTATTTGGATCGTAACTCTGGACACCTTACCCAGCACTACTCTCATGCCTACTATCTAGATAAATCAAACCACTTCTCTTTCTTCTGTCTGGGATGCATTCCACACCCTCATTCGGCCAATTCCGTTCATCCTCCTCAGGGAAGGCCCCTCTCCACCCCTCCCCACTGATTTGATGTAGGTGTGTCTCTGGCTTCAGGTCTACATCTCTACCTTAACTCTCCTAACCCCGGCCCCCTACTCACTGCCATACTTTTTTGTCTCCCCTCTGAGTTCCTGGAGGACAGGGACTATGTCTTACTCAAGCTCATATCCCCATTTATTCTCTTGTTCGGCAAACATTTATTTAGCATCTTTTATGGTACTGTTTGTTGCAGTGGCATAGGCCACACAATATGGGAGGCTCTGAGTCAGAGGGAGCCTGCACCCTGACTGCATCACTTAGAAGCTATGTGACCAAGGGCAAACTGTTGTAAAGTGGGATTGTTTACTCTTTAGAACTGCTTCAACTATTCTAAGGCTAAAACAAGGTGTATGTAAAGGACACAGCACAGTAGCTGGCACACAGTAAGCTCTCAATAAATGACCAGCATTATATAAGTTGTTTTTATTTTTTTTTTTTAATTTTTTTTTTCAACGTTTATTTATTTTTGGGACAGAGAGAGACACAGCATGAACGGGCGAGGGGCAGAGAGAGAGGGAGACACAGAATCGGAAACAGGCTCCAGGCTCTGAGCCATCAGCCCAGAGCCCGACACGGGGCTCAAACTCATGGACCACGAGATCGTGACCTGGCTGAAGTCGGACGCTTAACCGACTGCGCCACCCAGGCGCCCCATATAAGTTGTTTTTAAAAATATAGTCACTGTTCTCACCATTCTTACAGAATGGCAGAGACTCAAATACTAAAGTAGGTACTTTTTAAGTGAATGAATACAGTCTATGCATGATAACTTATCCTTGATCAGAGGTAAACAATGTTTCCCACCCTGAATCATGTCATTAGAACGGTGTGTTTTGGGGGTTGCCTGAGTGGCTCAGTCAGTGAAGCGTGCAACTTCGGCTCAGGTCATGATCTCGCAGTCCATGAGTTCAAGCCCTGCACTGGGTTCTGTGCTGACAGCTCCGAGCCTGGAGCCTGCTTCAGATTCTGTGTCTCCCTCTCTCTGTCCCTCCCCCATTGACACTATTTCTCTCTCAAAAATAAATAAACATTTAAGAAAATTTTAAAAAACCCCTGTTTGGAGGTTATTTTGCCCTCTGTGCACTTCTATCCTTAACACAGGGAGCGCCAACTTTAAACAAACACACCACATCGTTATGCTATTGTAAGCCTGTGTCATTCTCAACACAAAGGTGTTGTAAGTGAATAAGAGAGATGGGTCAATGGCAATAGTCAGTTCAGAGTAGTATAGCCAAATGATGAAATGCACCATCAAAGAGTAACAAATTACCAAATTACCAACCACAGACCCTGAAAAAGCCCTGGAGCTGCTTACAAGCAGCCCAGGAAGAAGCCTTAGCACATAGCTGACCCGGGCCAAGTTCTCAATTTATTGAGACATTTTATACCCAAATAAGTTTTTTATGTAAAGATAACTTCCTCCTTTCTAACTGATCAAACAAGATGATACTGACGCAACAACCACATGCCAGATGCCATCCCAAACACTTTGTATCTATCTTCACAATGCTCCTACCAGGTATCACAGTCTCCCCAGAAAAGAAACTGAGACCCTGAGAGATTAAGTAGCCTGCCCATGGCTGTACAGTGAATGGCAGGGCCCAGAACAGACCCCTGACAATCTGCTTTTAAACCCACTTTTTTTTTTTAATATTTATTTATTTTTGAGAGACAGAGAGTGCAAGTGGGGAATGGGCAGTGAGAGAGGGAGAGAGAGAATACAAAGCAGGCTCAGGGCTGTCAGGGCAGAGCCCGACATGGGGCTCAAACTCACGAACAGCGAGATCATGACCTGAGCCAAAGTCAGACCCTTAACTGACTGAGCCACCCAGGTACCCCTTAAACCCACGCCCTTAACTACTGCCCCATACTGCCTTCCCTATCAGATCTGAATATTAAATGAGAACATTCCAAACACTACTGCCACAAACTGTTCTATGTACCAGGGACTCCATACAGAAGTCTAAAGTGGGGTGCAAATATCGTGTTACAACCATTTTCATCTGTCAATATTTATTAAGCATCTAAGATGAGCACCTCGCTACACAAAGGGACACTACTGAATGGATGACAGTATCCTACTCTGAGTTATGAAACAATTCTCCTCATTTTACTAATTTTAAACGGAGTTAATAAAATAACCAAAGGTCTCCATTTTTCAGCAAGTTTAAACACTGGATTTAATGCCACAAGTAAAGATACTAAGACAGATGGGCCCCATTTAATGAAATATTGGCTATTTTAAGTTTAGACCCCAAAAATAAAAAGAAGGATGGTTGTAGTAAGGAACACACACATTGGCCCATTAGTCCAGTTTACCCTGAAACACGCCAGCACCTTACAGTAAGGTGGTAACATGAGAAAATAAAAGCATAAAAATCAGGAAGAGTAAGTTGGGTTAGGGAAAAGGTTTGTCCCCCCACCCCACCCCAACCGGCAAAGCAGGTCAGATCTGTGATCAACTATAGACCAGGTTATCCATTCTAGTGTAAGCCCCAATAGTGTGCTTTTTCTTTTTGTAATGCAAATGTCTGACTCCAGGTTTGATTGCCAAGGCATCTACTTTTCAACAATTATGTTTTATGGCTATGTGTACTTAAAAATAGTTACTCTAATCTTTTTGGTATCTTGAAACCTTAGAGTTTTGCAAGTTCAATGATGGAAATTCATTAACTACATAGATCATTGCCAAATATAAAATATTGAAACATTTATTATTGAACACAGATTTATCTACTTTTGGTTTCTCATAACAGAGAAGCTAAAGATATTTGGATTTGTTAGTATACATGTCCTGTGCTATAATGAAAAACTGCTACTTTAAAAAAAAAAGGTATATGCCTCTAGAAATTATGAAATGTATTAATTTGCCAGTATAGAGTATTGGCTAGTAAAGTTCACAATTCCTTACTTGCTAGTTTTCAGTAAAAATTAAAGTTTCTAAGAATTAAGAATTCTACCTAATATATGTAACTAAAAGTACAAGAAATAAGGGAAACATTTCTAGGCAAGGAAAGTAGCATGTATTTTAGCTAAGAAAAGATATGAAGTGTGGAGATGCATTTTTGTTAAGGCAAATGGAAGTAATTTTGTCCTAACATACACAAACTAAATGGATACAGAAAGCACAGGAAAGAGAATAAGAGAGGAAGAAAGAATTTTACCTTGTGTAGCAAGCTAGCTAAAAATGAAATTACAAAGATTTTTTAAAATAAGTTTTAATAAATAGTGTACTTCTGAAAACTACAGCTTAATTTTCTTTCATCTACTAAAAGGACAGTTTTCTTGTGGGCACCTGAGTGGCTCAGTCTGTTAAGCATTCAACTTCAGCTCAGGTCATGATCTCACAGTCCAGGAGTTCGAGCCCCATGTCCGGCTCTGTGCTGACAGCTCAGAACCTGGAGTCTGCTTTAGATTCTGTGTCTCCCTCTCTTTCTGCCCCTCCCCTGCTCACACTGTCTCTCTCAAAATTAAATAAACATTAAAAAAATAAATAAAAGTGCTGTTTTCTTGGACTACTGGTCTGTTCTTAATAAAACTATGCAAGATTTTTACCTTTTAAGTAATCTGCCTAGGAAATAAAGATTCTGTATTTTATCAAAATAATTTCCTGTGCTTCATTTTGTCTTTATCACCCCTTTGATCACTTAAGAAAATGAGTCTTCTCTATTAAAAGAACTTCTTTTTTTATATACAAGTATGTAACTTTCATATTTGCCTATAAAGTCTTTTGTAATTTTGGTTAAAGTTGATAAAATGGATAACTAAGTAACATTTCACCACAATCTATGATCCTATGTAATCAAGTATATTACTTTTTTTCAAATGCTTATTTATTTTGAGAAAGTGGGGAGGGGCAGAGAGAGAGGGAGAGGGAGAATCCCAAGCAGGCTCCACACTGTCCGCAAAGCCTGATGTGGGGCTCAATATACCAAATCGTGAGACTGTGACCTGAGCTGAAATTAAGAGTCAGGTGCTCCATGAACTGAGCCACCTAGGTGCCCCTGTAATCAAGTGTTTCAAAACCTTTTGATATTTCTGACAAACTTCCCAGAATCAAATTCTAAATGAAGTCTTTTTAACCTTGAACTAACTTTGGGATTTCCCAGGGGATCCTGGAACAATCTCAAAAGATTTGTTCTTTCTCCTTATAAAAAGGGATTGTTAAACTAATTAGGCTTATTTATGTTAAACTACATGAAAAGCACTGTCAAATAAATAATGGAAAACCTTCTTTAGGTTAAATTTGTATGAATATGTGTGACTGATGTTAGTGTTCCAGAAATCATATGAAATTCCTAGAGGCTTACTATATGCTGGTCTGTTATCACTTATAATTCTAGTTATTATCTTAGAATGTTATGTCACAGGAATAACCAAAGTTCCTTGTCAACTACACTGTAATGAAGTCACATCAGGTGTTTTACATGGCTATTTTAAAGTCTTTAAATGTTCCTGTCAGCCTTACCAGGTAAGGAAGGCCACTTCTTGACCTTTAATTGTACCCTGAGGCCAAAGCCTCAGGATATTTCAGGCACCCTGAAAAGAGAGGAATTGGCCCAAATCTATAGGTATTATAAGTGAAGTCTGAAGGCTAGTCCTTGGCTTGGCTACCCAGACTTAAGGGACTTTTAATAGCCCAATCTGAGATTCCCGGGCAGGGATGCAGCATATTTGGAAGAGCCTATTTGATAAACCTACTTACATAAGATGGCCAAAGATGTTTAAATATTTCACAATTATTACTCAAATCTTTGAATGCATTTCTAGAGCCCCAGGATCACTGACCTGGTTTCAGGGGAGGACCCATTAAGCTTGGGACAATGGCTACAGACTGGATTTCAGACTACTGTCTGTATAATTATTATAGGAGTGCTACTATAATCCTACTTAGATGTGTACTTTCTGGGTTACAACGTGCCCTACCCCCGACTTTTAACATATTAGCTATCCTGGGTTACCACTGACTCCGATGCCTTAGCATCAAGATGGATTGTAGTGTATACCTTGACAGTTTCTTTTTTGGAATGCAAGTGCCTAAGGGCATCCTCCTCAAAGATGGCAATTTCAAATAAACACATTGCAGGCCACACATCTAGATAAAGAGCCAGGCTATGGGGGCGTGGTGGGGGCAGCCTTCTTTGTTTTAAAGATCTTGGTTGAGGGGCTCGGGCTGAAGCTCAGGTGGTTGTAATCCGACTTCTGCTCAGGACATGATCTCACGGCTCCTGAGTTCAAGTCCCACGTCGGACTCTTTGCTGACAGCTCAGAGTCTGGAGCCTGCTTCAGATTCTGTCTCTCCCTCTCTCTCTCTCTCTCTCTCTCTCTCTCTCTCTCTCTCTGACCCTTCCCCGCTCACACTGTCTCTGTCTCTCTCTCTCAATAATAAATAAACATTAAAGATCTTGGTTGACTTCAGTAACTGACCATTTAGGCTGCTTGTTCTTTCTCTTCCTGTACTTTAAATTCCCCCTCTTAAGTTTTAAATTCACCAATGAGTGAGCCGCAATAAAAGCAGGACCCCAGGTGTTTTCTCTCTCTCTCTCCCCCTCCCCACAATCTTTTTTTTTTTTCCTTAAGCTTATTTATTTCTGAGAGAGAGCATGCAAGAGAGAGAGCATACGCATGCACACGTGAGAGGGAAGGGCAGAGAGAAAATCCCAAGAGGCTCCAGGCTGTCAACACAGGGCCCAACTAGGGGCTCAATCTCATGGTTCATGAGCCAAAACCAAAAGTTGGAAGCTCAATTGACTGAGCCACACAGGGGTCCCTCCCCACAATCTTGCTGTGTGGCCCAGGTGTGCTACGTGCTTGCCAGGATCTGTCAATAGCACCCCCCCTTTTTTTCAAAGTTTCCTGATGATTATTGCCGAGGACATCTTACAACCAAAGTAACAGCCATAAGGGCGAGTCCAGTCACAACACTGATTATCAGGAAGCTGAGATCAGTACAAAACATCCATTCAGCAATCAAGCTAGTTCTGAATTGCATCTGAATATACAAGCTCCATCTGACTCAACCCAACAAACAACCCATTCAAGAGTTGGGCCTTAACATTATGAAATGAAATTAGCTCTAGCTGTGATTTGGGGTACAATGGAAGGGGATAAAACAAAGACAGGAAAAAGGTTACAAAGGGCATGTGACAGAAATTTTTAGAGCCAAGAACAATCATGCTACTAAAGCAAGCTCCCAGGCCAAGAGGCCACCTGTCAGCAGGACCAGGGAACTCAGACAATTACCAGCTATGCCCACACAATTTTACACAAAGCTGGAATGGCCCCGTCTCCCTTCACATAAGTCTTACGCAATGCCCAGGTAACATGAACCCATCCCAGTTGTCACAGCCAAGAAAGGATTAAGACATGACAATTAAACACAGCTGATATTCTGGATGGGATCCTGGAACAGAAAATGGGCATTAGGAAACAACTAAATATAAAATATGAAAGTATGGATTTTCATGTTATCACTACTGGTGGTAACAAATGTACTTTACCAATGTGGGATGCTGATAACAGAACATGGCTGCAGCGTATCTGAGAAATCTGTACTGTTTTAGAAACTTTTCTGCAGGCCTAAAGCTATTCTAAAGTCAAATTTACTTAAAAGAAAAAAGTCTCTCAATACTTAGTATGAGAATCAACTGGTATATTCATTGAAATGCAGATTCTCAGGTCCCAATCCAGAACTACAGAATGGGGAGTACATTTTAACAACCATAACAGGTGATTCTTACACACCCTAAAGGTGGGAAGCCATCCTGGCTGTTGGCCCAATGCTTCCCCCTCCCTGCACACAAAAATAGCCACTAATGAGACACACAGGCACCGACTTTTCCAGCGGGCAACTCACCCCACCTTGGGCCTTGACCACTGCCAATAAACAATGCCCCCAACAGTAAACAATCCTAGACTACCATTTGATACTAGCATAGTCTAGCATTATAAACAAAACAAGTCTCAGACTGGCCTCTTACCTTCCTAAAGAGGCCTTGAGGCACCTGTCTTGCCTCCCAACACAAACATACTGTGCACTGGCCCCTGTGAAGTTAGCCAACTGCCCGCTGCACTAGTGGTCCAGGGCGTCCGACTCCCCAACCCGCATTGAAGCATCCTTTTGGAAAGAGAGATGCTCCCCGGATCCCTGGCCATTTCTGGAGCGACCCTCAGGAATGCCCTCTCCACCGCAAAGGGAGCCCAGGCTGGTACGAGGGTGATGGTGCGAGCCCCAGCCTTGTCACTTATCGACACCTGTCACTCGGTGGATCTCCGGATCCTCGTCTATTAAAACTGTCTCTATAGAGGTTCATCTAAAACGAGCAGGCGCCGGTTCCAACCCCGCACGCGCCCGGACCTCTGGCCGACGGGCGGCCGCCGGCAGCCGGGACGGGAGTGCGTCGAAACGCCAGGCTGCGCCGCTGGGGCTTATGGGGCGCCCCCCTGGCAACGCCGGCGCATCCCACCGCCCGCCGCTCACCCCGCCGCCGCTGACCGCGCCGATGCCATCGAACTCCCGGCCCAGCCCGTCGGAGTCGTCCAGCACGTACGCGCCGCCGGGCACCAGCAGCGCGCACAGCAACAGGGGCACCGCGGCGCGGCCCGCCGAACCCGCGGCGGCCGTCATGGCTTTCCCTCGGCGTTGCCGGGAAGCCTGGGGTAGGCGCTCAGCCATTGTGTGGGTCACATGACTCCGGCGCCTCGGAAGGCGGGTCCTGTCGTCGCCATGATGGAGAAGGGCAGGAGACTGCTGACGGCGGCGCCGCCATCTTGAGTGCGGGCCACACGTCGGGGACGATTGCTGTGAGATAGCTGACCCAGAGTGTCGTCTGCTCAGGCCCTGTGGAGTGTGGCCTTCATGTGTACTCACCTCCCTGCGCCTCTTCCGGCCTCACCTGCTGGGGCACGTTAGCTCAGGGGAGATGGATGTCCAAAGCCAGCCGAGAGAACTGGACCTTCCTTAACATCTCGGGGCACATCCACCACATGCCAATCTATGGCAAAGCAAGAGAGAAGACCCAGCTTGCAGCCCCCACTACGTCCTAGTTCAGGTGTCTGTCTCCTTGGTCGAATCACTTAGCTTTCTGAGCCTGAGTTTCGTTTTGCGTAAGATGAAACAAGAGCAGCCGCCGGGGGACATGGGATTAAACGAAATACAAGGTAATAGGTGCTCAGTAAATCCGAGCTGAATGCGTTGCACACTTGGCTAACTTTAGCTGACAGGGTTCTCCATTCTGGTAATCATTACGTATATTTGGCGTTTAGCTTCATCAAGTACCTTACGTAGCCCGTTGACATGGTTCCAGGCAGATAACCCAAAATCGATAGGGATGTTGTGAATTGTCCTGGGATTCTGCCACATGCAGCGTCAGTGTGAGATTTCTGATTTTCTTGGTATCTGAGCAAACTGAAGAGACTGAGTGGCTGCAGAGAAAGCATTTCTGATCCCAAATCTGCCTTTTGCATACCCATGGAATCGGTTTTCGGTATCTACACAAGCCCTGGAGACCCCAAAATGGCAAAGAGAAGATCCAAAGACTATAGGACATGTGAGCCTTCATCTTCAGGGTCCTATTTGGAATCAGATTGTTTTTCCCCTTAACTACAAACTTAAGTTCCATGATCACAATTATACTAGGAGGAAAAATCTCCCATCTGTGCCATCCCAAAAATGCAGTTGTCAGGCCATTCTGCCCTCCGTCCTTTCTCAGTGCATGATAGCAATGCTTGCTGTTTCTCTTAAATTACTGTAGATCTATTTTGGTTTACTAAGGAGGGTCCCAGCTTATTTCTGTTGTTCTAACAAATGTTAATAGTGCCCCTTTCACCTTCAAAGTGATCTGGCTTGGGGCGCCCCGGGGGGGGGAGGGGGGGGGGAGCTCAGTGGTTCAAGGGTTTGACTCTTGATTTCACATCAGGTCATGATCTCTCTGTTCCTGAGATCCAGCCCGGCACTGACAGTGCAGAGCCTCTTAGGGATTCTCTCTGTCCCTCCCTGTTCCTCCCCCCACCTCTCTCACTCACGCTCCCTCTCTCTCAAAATAGATAAACTTAAAAAAGTATTCTGGCTTGGATGATAAATTATATGGTCCTGTATACATGGGCCACTTTTTTCTTTTTCTATTTCTTCTTTTCCCAATACAGCACATGCCTGAACTGTACCTTCTCTATCCATTCTGTGATATAAGACGATAACTACCCAGGTTCCATAGATTTACCTTCCCAGAACTCACTCTGATCCACCCCATCTAACACAGTAGTTTTTTTTTTAATTTTTTTTTAACGTTTATTTATTATTGAAAGACAGAGACAGAGTGTGAGCAGGGGAGGGGCAGAGAGAGAGGGAGACACAGAATCAGAAGCAGACTCCAGGCTCCAAGCTGTCAGCACAGAGCCGAACGCGGGGCTCGAACTCACAAACCGTGAGATCATGACCTGAGCCAAACTCGGACGCTCAACCGACTGAGCCACCCAGGCACCCCCTAACACAGTAGTTTAAGCCAGAATCTGAAAACCAGTGGATGCAAGCCACGGTAGAGCACACCACAAATATTTGTATACTTTGTGATATCTGTAGAAGAGGGAACACAGAATATTTAACAGAAAACGTGTTCTTATCCCTAGGACATATCACTAGTTCCTATTAGTCCATATACCAAAGTAATTTTACCTTACCACAGAAAATATCTCCAGTTTCAAATTTCTTTTTTTTTTTTTTCAACGTTTTTTTAATTTATTTTTGGGACAGAGAGAGACAGAGCATGAACGGGGGAGGGGCAGAGAGAGAGGGAGACACAGAATCGGAAACAGGCTCCAGGCTCCGAGCCATCAGCCCAGAGCCTGACGCGGGGCTCGAACTCACGGACGGCGAGATCGTGACCTGGCTGAAGTCGGACGCTTAACCGACTGCGCCACCCAGGCGCCCCATCCAGTTTCAAATTTCTAATGTATATTCAGGACACCATTCGAAAAGAAAGTTTCTAATAAAAAAGCAACTAAATCTGAGCCAAGGAAGAGAGATTCTTGGGCTTCAGGGCACAGCAGTCAGATGTGCTCAAGAGGTAAGATAAAGGGAAATAGCACTTTTCAGACAAGCGTTCATGTGTTCAGCTCCCCGTTCCTGTGGTTTTTGCGGTGTGAGATAAACAAGAGGAGAAGTGTTGTTCTCAGTTCTCAAATTTCAGGTGAGTTTTGAAAGTGAAGACTTTTTCTCCTAAAGGAGCAGTGTTTTTGAGTATCACAGCTATACTTGAGTCACAGCAAAATCTCTTTCTTTGAAAGTGACGAATGTGATCAAAATCAGACGGTCTCTTGAGAAAGATGAGAGATTTTGCCTTTCAGTGAAAGGTTATTGATAAAGTCTGATAGCAGTCTGTTGTCTCGCCTTAGAAAATGGCTCTACTTTTAGAAATCTGAATTCAGCCATCATATTGAAGGACAGAGGCCAAGTCTTTTCCCTCTCTGTACTTCCTGAATTCAGTGTCCATACCTCAGAAGGTACTCAAAATATATTAGTTGAATTGAACTTAAAAAAAAAAAAAATCACTGGGGGCGCCCAGATGACTCAGTCGGTGAAGCGGCTAACTTCGGCTCAGGTCATTATCTCATGGTTCCTGGATTCCAGCTCCACATTGGCCTCTGTGCTGACAGCTCAGAGCCTGGAGCCTGCTTTGGATTCTGTGTTTCCCTCTGTCTCTGCCCCTCCCCTGCTCGCATCTGTTTCTCTTTCAAAAGTAAATAAACATTTAAAAACAAAAATCACTGTGAAAATGGTACCTCAAATCACTGGGGTAAGGATGGAACTTTTTAAAACATATGGAGGGGCCATATGGCTCAGTCAGTTAAGCATCCGACCCTTGATTTGGGCTCAGGTCATGATCTCATGGTTGGCGGGATGGAGCCCCCTGTTGGACTGTGTGCTGACAGCATGGAACCTGCTTGGGATTCTCTCTCCCTCTTTCTCTGCCCCTCCTGGCTCACAAGCTCTCTCAAATAAACTTAAAACATATACATGTATGTGTGTGTATATATATATATATATATATATATATATATATATATATACACACATATATATATATACACATACACAAAATATATGTACATATGTATACACACATATACGTATTATACATATATTAACGTATATAACATATATGTGTATATGTATGGAGACGCCTGGATAACTATTTGGAAAACGATCAAATTTGAGATCTGTGCTTCATACCACACACAAACTACAAATGGATAAAGCTCTAAATGTAAAATGTGAAACTTAACAAGTTCTAATGCAAAGCATGGGTAAATTCCTGTAGAACTTGGAGGTCTAAGTATCACTTAATGTCTCAATACCAAAAAAATAAAAATTTGGTTTAAAAAAATCACTGAATAATCATATAAGGGGATAAGGAAAAAGGATTATTTATAAAAGAAAGTAGAAACATTCCTTAATGTAGAATCTCCTGGGCTTAAAAGAGTATGAAGTATATTCTCTTCATGAACTATACTGTAGCATCTGCTGTTTATCTGATTTTTTCCACTTTGACATATGTTGCTTGATCGCATTTCATAATATCATCCTGATCAGTGTAAAAAATGTATAGGAATTCTCTTAATTCGGGACTGTATGTGAAGACAATAACAATAGTTCATAGGACAGAATCGACATAATGGAATAAATTATATATTGCTTACTAAACATTTTCTTAAGGATAACTCATAAAAACTGCCATAGCAAAGAGCTATACTGTGGCATAGTGGTTAGAATCAGCCCTGGAGTCCCAGCCTGCATAGTATCAAATCTCTAATACCACCTACCAGCTGTGTGATTTTCGCCAAGTTACTTTCCATCTTTGGACTTCAGTTTACCCATCTATAAATAGAGATGATGACAGTAATTAGTTGGTATGAAGGCTAGCTGAGTTAATATTCATACAGCACTTAGAAGTGACCACCATAGGGGCACCTAAGGTGTCTCAGTCAGTTAAGCCTCCAACTCCAGCTCAGGGCATGATCTCACAGTTCATGAGTTCAAGCCCCACTTCGGGCTCTGTGCTGACAGCTCAAAGCCTGGAGCCTGCTTCAGATTCTGTGTCTCCCTCTCTGTCTGCCCCTCCTTGTTCATCCTCTGTCTCTCTCTCTCTCTCAAAACTAAACATTTAAAAAAAGTGACCAGCATATACTACATGCTACAGAAGTGTTTATCATATAAATGACATAAATGGCATACAGATTTAAGTACAGTATAACTTTTAACTTGACTGCTCTCCACAAAACTAAGACAATTCTGGAGGAAAAGATTATTCATGTCTTTGTACTACTCTGAATTTTTTTTTTTTCCTATTTTTGTTATCGACAGTCATTCAAGCCCATGCCCCATATGGCTGATTCCCCAGTGTGCGAGTCTTGGTGGGAGGCAGATTCCCCTCCTTCAGGAGGGAAGGAGCCAGATCCTCCCTCTTCCTGCCCCCAGCAGCGAGAGCTCTGCAGTGTCCCTCAGCCAGTGCCTTGAGCCTGTGACTTTGATCATGTAAGGGTAGCTAGACAGATGTATGAACAGCCAAGCACCCCAGACCATGTCAGAGTCCAGTGGAGGCAGCGGCACAGAGGCTCATCAGAGGAGCCCCGAGTGCCCCGAACAGCACGATCAAAAGTGCCGTCCTAACATACGGCTCA